GCCAGCTTGTGACCGTTATTCCTGGTCGCTCCTGGCAGTGCTCGCGGGAACAGGGACTCCCCCAGTGCCTGCTGATCCCCCCTGACTAGTTTATAACAGGCCACTAGATCCCCCTCAGCCTTCTCTTGTGGAGGCTGAACAGGTTCAGGTCCCGTAGCCTCTCCTCGTAGGGCCTGCCCTGCTGCCCCCGATCATGCAAGTGGCCCTCCTCTGGACCCTCTCGATGCTGTCCACATCCCTCTTGAAGTGCGGCGCCCAGAACTGGACGCAGTACTCCAACTGTGGCCTGACCAGTGCCGCATAGAGGGAGAGGATCACCTCTTTGGACCTGCTCGAGATGCATCTGTGGATGCATGACAAGGTACGGTTGGCCTTCCTGACTGCCTCCCCACACTGCTGGCCCATGTTCATCTTGGAGTCAATGATGACTCCAAGATCCTTTTCCACCTCTGTGCTGACAAGAGGGGAGTTCCCCAACCTGTAAGTATGGTCCCCAACCTGTAGTCTTCCCCAGGAGACTCCTTGGGCAAGCTACAGACTTCCTTTTTGCCACAGTAATACTCTGAACAATGGGGTGCCTATCTTGGGTGGAGCCTCCAGACAGAGTGTTCTTGGATGAAGCTATAGCAGAGAAAGGACGCCAGTGGCACCCAGAAAAATTTCAGAGCTGGTAGAAGGGACAGAGTCAGCCTGTGCTGGAAAGGGGATTCCCATGAACCCCAGGCTGCACCTAGCATGTGTTGCTAGCAGGGAGTGCTGATGGCTCAGAGCCCATAGGCCATGCTTAGGCTCTGCTCAATCCCTAACCCTAGAGCAGGGGTTTTCACCCTTTTTGGATCAGTGTACCCCTGGCGGCCAGATGCAGAGCAGTGTACTCCCAGCAGCAGGGTGCAAAGCAGGGCTGGGGAGGAATGCGGCTGATTGAGGAGTGGTGGCAGCTGCCGCGCAGGAGCTTCTGCCTCCTCCTGCATATGACCAGGAGGGCTGTGCTTGCATGGCAGCACGGGATGGTGCGTAGCAGCGCTCCATCCTCGCCAGCACATACCCCCTAGGGCCTTCTCAATACCCCTAGGGGTAGGCGTATCCCCAGTTGACAACCCCACCCCAGAGCACTGCCCCAAAAGGACAGTTGGATGAGTTTCTGGGGTGCTGCAGAGCTTCATCTCCTGGCAGGCACAGGATGGAGCCAGTGAAAGGGATTCAAGGAGCGAAAAGGATGAGGGCAAAAGCAGGAAGGAGTTGCTGCTCCTTCAGGCAGATGCCAAGAGAGGAGCTCTAAACTTCGACTAGCTGCAGCTGTTAATCAGTGCAGTCCCTGAGCAGGGACAGAAGGGGCTATTAAGAGAAGAGAAGTGGCAGGACGAGTCTGGGGATCTCAGTGCAGTGGAAGTAGCAGAGCTAAGAGCCATGAGAGGGAAAGCTACCCAGGGTGCAGGAGAAGGCTGTTTTGCCAGTTAGCTTGGGGTAGGACTATCCTTACTTTCTGGGAAAAGGGGAAAAGGTTACCCTCCCTCCCCTGGGAACTGCTCCCATATGTGACAAACCCAACACATACTGAAACCCACTGCCCCTCCTGGGATCTAGCAGTGTCCACCTCACTTGCCTTACATAGCACAGGCTGACCCACTCCCAGCCTACTGCCCACAGTCACCCTTGCCCCCTTCCCTGGCCCCTTTGCACAGCAGCCCCTGGTTACTAACCCACATGCTTTCCACGGGTCACTCTGCCTATGGAATTGTTCCATCCAGGCATGAACAACGCATGCCTCCGGAGGCTGGGGGGGCACGGCAAGTGCCTGCAGGCAGCAGTGGTGATGCAGGTGGTGAGGGTAGGTTGAGCGGGGACCACCCACAGGCAACCACAGCGGTGTTAGCAGCAGGGAGCAGGTAGGGTGGTGGCGAGCAGCAGGCGACGAGCAGGGACCGCCTGCAGCCGCCATCCATGCTGTTGGTGGTGGCGAGTGAGGACTGCCCACCGCTGCCGGTGGCCATGTGGGTGGTGGGGGAAAGGGTGGCAACTGCCCTCAGAAGCCAGTGGCAGCTTCGACAGCAGCCAATCTCAGCAGCAGTGGAAGCAGCAGAGACGGTGGCCATGCCCCCCCCCATGCATCGCCTATCTATCCAGGGCTAAGTGGGCCAGAGAACTGGGGGCTCCTATACACGTGTAAGGAGGCTGCTCCAACATACTGTAATTACAGTGCATCAGAGCAGACTCGATTAACTGAATCTGGTGGAGCAGGGTAATTGCCATGCTTCAGCAGACTCCAGTATCACCTGTATCAGCAGCCCCGTGCTGAAAAATGGTGGGAGTTGTAGAACCTTATGGGCACTTGACATCCAAGTTTCTGCTCTATGTTTCCTGCCATTGCAGGGTCAGTTTCACCTCCAAAGGGCTGGTCAGGTTCACAGCTTGGCATGTCCAGAAGGAGCAGAATGTATGCTTACCATCTCCTTGCTCTCCAGAGCTGCAGTGTACTGGTCAGTTTTCCAACCCTCAATAAAGGCTGTGCCTACATATGTATTTATGTGTGCCTAAGCTTAACACACCTTTACTTAAAGCGCATTAAAGTGATCTGGGCGCGCATCTACAAGTGGACACACTACTGCGCATTAAGATACATTAAATTTAGGTATGAATAGCTAAGTCGCATTAGCAAACATGCAGATACACTAATGCACATTAACACAGTGTGTATCCATTGATGTACACCATGCTAACGTGCATTAGCACATCTATACATGCGCTAATGCAACTTAGCTATTCGTGCCTAAATTTGAAACCGGCTTTATACAGGTTTCCAATTTAAGCTTACATAGCCCTAAATTGTGATTTTTAAGGTGCATTAAGCATGTACACATCTAGACATGTGCCCTTAATGTGCCTTAAAAATGGTGGTTTTAGACTAAGTCCGCTTAAAAGATGCACATATAGACACACCCAGAGTGTTCATCTTCCTGGCTATTTTTTCCCTGTTCAAGAATCTCTGCCAACTGGCATGCTACAGTATGGCAGCTCATGTCTCCATGACCTTGGCACTGGAAAGGTGCCCCCTTGAGCTGTGTTTTGTGCTCCATGAGTCCAAGAAGAACATGGCCAAGGAGGAAGAAATAAGAGAATCCCTAGAGGATAGCCTTCTCTGAGACTCTCTGAAGACTATCTGACTCCACTTTTGAGCCAGAGACACAACCAGCAATTGGTAGGAGTAGATAGTCCTGAGGACCTGGGATGACAACCAGTGACAACAGAAGGGCAGGATAAGCAGGACCACCTTCCTCAAGATCTGCACTGATTCATAGATTTACAGACATTAGGGATGGAAAGGACCTCGCAAGATCATCGGGTCCAGCCCCCTGCCCAAGGGGCAGGAAGTCA